GCCATGTCCGCCGGCCATATCCGCATATCCGTGTGGTCCTGCGAGGGATTTTAATCATGCACGTATTTTGAAGCTTTTCCGCTTTCCAGCCACGAACGCCATAAATATCCATCAATATGTGAGCAAGCCACTGTCGGATTTCTCCGCGCCGTGAACTATGAACTCCGCTGGCACCCGAGGTGAATTGGCTGCAAAAACAAAGAACTGCCATTAATATATTTATGTGTGCAGAAGCCACATAAAAGCGTTGCAGTGCACACTTAATTGCACAAATTGTGAACTAGATTTTATCAAATTACAATGTTTAGTGCGCTCTGTTGTCTCGTTAAAATTACACACATACAGCTATTTGCGTTGATTATAATTCGAGTAATAATTTAAGCGAATTATCACTTTGTTGTCGGTTATATTGAAATTAAATTGTAAATTGCGTTGTAAAGAAAAACAAAAATGTTATTAACGAATTTAAAAACAATACAATTTTTTTTTAAGGAAAAACAATTTAAATAAATTTACGCAGCTGACTGTGTAAAAAGCAGCAAGGAATTAATTGTTTAAAATATTTTTTATTGAAGAGATAGTTTTTAAAAATATGGCAGTGCTTTTATGGAAATACATGAAAAATATTTCTTAAATCAAGTAAGTTGGTAACTTTTTAAACCCTAAGTTTGTTGAATTCGAGAATTAAAGAAATACTTGCCAAGCAATACATTACATACCTTGTGATTGGCTGAATATATTTTATGTCTGCCACAAAGTTTAAAATTTGTATTTTTGAAGATCTAAGTTTGGTACTTTATTATTTTTAATAAGACATTTTGGGAACTCACAAAATCACTGCTTTTACAATCCTGTGCTTGTTAAGCAACACGTTTTATTTATGGCAAAACCTCAAACCAAATTCCACCGAATTTTCGTGTCACTCTTACCTTTTGCCACATACTTTGCCACAGTCTGCTCTACTTTGGCTCCTGCTATATTATTCACTTTGTCTATCTCAGTCTGGCTCAAAAACTTAACCCTATTCCGTGAGCCCTACTCAAATATCCTGGGGCTGCGCCCGACAAAGAAAACAAAAAATAAAAAAGGGGAAACAAACACAGCAAATGTTGCAAAGCAAAGCTACAAGAATGGGGCAAAAAGTGTTAACAAGCAGCGTATAAATTATTAATTAAGTCGCTCGGCCGCTCAGTCTCTGCAATTTGCTATATTAAATGAAATGCAACTGAAAGAAGGGCATAAATTTATATTCTCTGGCATTTGACATAAATTTCATTTATATCCATGTGAATTGGTCTCTTGCAGAGGCCTAATTATTTAATCAATATATGCCCATAAATATTACACAGAGCTCTCAGGCATCGGGACAAGATATATGAATGCCTATTTACAGGCTGGTGTTTGTGTGGCCCCAATTGGTTCAATTAGTGAAAGTAAAACAAAAGTTGAAGTTCCCACAGTGCTAAGCTGCAAGGGCCACCATATTTCAGGCAGGAGCCCTACAATTACAATGAATAAAGCGTCGAACATTATAATTAAAGGTAAACGACTTAGTCAGACAGTTCCTGAAAGCCCCAGCACCTGACAACAATTTTATGTTATTCATTTAATAGGGGCTACAAAAATAATGTAGTTTTATTAGTTTTAACTTTTATATTAGGAGGACATTACTGTCATATTTCCATTTACAATATATTTAGTTTTAGATAATATTACCGGAAAACTTTAATATAATATGTATTTGTCTTTATAGGGACATTGGTGTATTTCTTTCTCCCTCCCAAGCAATCCCCATGATTCATATGAATAAAATCCGCATTTAAATATATTGTGCTCGACTTTTGTAACCAACCACTTTCCAAAGCAAACAAATGAGTTGGCATTTCATGTGAAATGCTATCAGGCTAGTCTAAATCTTAAGCCTCAGTTGGGGGCGAATCCTCGTGGCAGCTTTGTAAATCGCTTTGCTGGGGAAAGGCCTCTACTATCTTTACACAATTATAACAAAAGCGCGACCTTTATGCACATGTCCCTCAGTTTCAGCCCTTTTTCCGACTCCGACTCGAACTCCTAGCTCAAGTCTACCTGGAAAAACGTTTCGTGGCAAAACTTGGGCACTAAAAATGCGTGCGTGCCTTGGTATTTTCTTTTTTTATCGATTTGCATATCTAAATTTAGTCAGGCGACATATAATACCATACCACACACAGTGTATGTTCGCATGCATATATAGTATGTTTATTATATACATGTGGAGGCCAGGGAGCACGACCACACGCACTAATAAATATTGCATTGTGATACTGGGAATGGATTCCATTTAGTTTGAGGAGTCGTGGCTACCGCAATTAAAGTCCTGCCGCCATCTGCCTATGCCCATGCCAATACCTTGGGGCTACAATTAGATTTTGGTGTTAGGTGTACAGTCTGACCACATGTATACTTACACTAAGAAGAAAAAAACGTTGAAACGAGTAACTAAATACCTACAACAATACCATTTAACAATGCCAAATAATGGGCGTCAGTTAATTCTGTTCTGTGTAGAATGTACCATTTTGTACAGAAGGTAAATTTTTAAACACTTTTTTACCTTTAAAATTTACTAGATATGAACATATGTTGATTTTTTTCTCTGCGGATTATAATTTTGTTCTTAAATTTTAAGAAACATTATGTCGTGATTTTTAAACATGTATGTACAATTTCGGAATTCAGTTTTAATTTTATAAAAATCAGATGACAATATAATTTAGCTGACAAAAAAACGATCGACAAATTTATCACTTAACGTACCTTCATTCTTTTTAAACATATATGTATACAAATCGAAATATAATTATTTTAATTTTTAAGTTTTTCCGGCTCGAGGTCAACAATTGAAAAATTTTTAAATAAAAGTAATTAATTTAATTTAATTTAATTTTTTATTTTTTCCAATATATTTCGGTTGCACTTCGGCAACCGTCTTCAGGGCAAATAATTTTACACGTCTGCACCGTCGGACGTGGGATTATTTTATAGAATATTAATTTTTTAGCAAAGCTACAAGGGTGTATATACGCTTCAGCTTGCCGAAACTAGTTTCCTTTATTATTTTATTTAAAAACTATTTTGTATTTCATGTTTATGGTGCACAAGACAATTGTTGTTCACGACCAAATAAAACCAGTTCCCAAATTTAAACAGAAGCGGTCTTCTCACCCCAACACTAAGATTGTTTCTACAACTTCCGAAACATCGGTTATTTAAGTCATCGCTTAAAAGTTAACTATTTATGTGAAATTGTGTACTAGAGTGTACAACAATTCTTTGAGTGGACGTGAAAACACGACCTTAGATTGGCCGGCAAATGCCTTGATCACCTTGAACCGCCGCCCAAGGGAGACACAAGGATGTAGGACATCGCAGGAGCAGGCAGCAGGATGGAGGCCATGATAAATGAGCTACGTTAACTCATGTGGCAAATGTGACATGTGCTCCGGCATTTTATTCTTTGTGTACCTGGGCCTGTGTGTGCTGATTGCCGTGTGAGTCCGTGGAGAGACCAGCGCTAAAATTACCATACCGCAGTCCCCCGACATCCGCCCAGTAGTCTTGGCCTGGATTAACGTGGCCCACTCGGACCTCGGACATCCAATCATGCCCAGACCCCAAGTCCGAAAACCAGAAGGCTAATAGGTCAGTTTAGTTGGCCCTTGCATGAGAATTATGGTTAATTTTGGCTGCCACATTGCGGAAGTTATTAACTCGTTTGATTGAACTTGGCCGTAAGTGATTTCGGACGTGTGGTCATGTGCACCCAGTCCAAGTTGATGGCTTAAGTTTATTAAACAAGTGGGCAAATTTCCATTTTATGTGCAGGGCATAAGCAAGATATTGATATTGTTACGGCAGCCGGAAAGGAAGAATCTTATACGAAAGCAAGGCAATTAAGTGTCCACTCTTAGCTGGCTGAGATTTTAATGAAATTCTGCGTTTTGCGACAAGAAATAAACTTTGGCTCATAAATATTGCTTGTTATTTAATACCTCAATATATTATAATTATTTGGTTGAATTTCGCAAACTGTATGACTTTTGATTTCAGAAGTCTTTTATTAGGGGAATTAAGCTACTTTAATAATAAAACGGCAATCAAAAGACGAATTATCTTTGAGCAAGAGTTTATTCTTATTAAAAGTTTTAATTTAATTCTTGTATAAGAATTAAAGAATAATTTCTTGTAGAAATTTCTTCTTGTTCTTAAATATTTTAAGAATTAACTCTAAAGGCTTTGTTTCAGCTCCTTTATATGTATTATCCGGCTTACGTGATGTTACTTTAAAGAAAAATGTGTAATTTCGAAGATAAATTTTATCTTTCGTTCGCTTGTTTTCAAACTTATGGTTTTTTTTATGTTGTGCAGTTAGTTTGATCTGCAAGAGTCCGTCAAAGCTATATTATTCAAAGTTAGCCCCTGCTCTGATTTTTCATTAGTTCTCCACTCTCCTTTGAGAAACTTGGCAATAATAGCTAAGGGACTGTCCCTCGCCCGCCTGTCAAATATTTGAACAAAGCCCAAGACGCAGAAGTCTCGGCGCTGAAAAGTATGCAGCAGACAAAAGCTCATTAAGAACTCAGACACAATCCCCACCAGCACCCACTCCCAAGCCTCCGGCATCACAACCCACTCCTGTCACATCCTTGTTGTCTTCGTCATCATGTCCCCGCACTCCGTGTTAAGTGATTTCCATCATTTGCGCCAGAGGCACATGCTGGGGAATTCCAAGTTGGTAGTACCAGCGGCCTAAGCCCCTTCTGCTCTTCGCATGTGTTCAATTCCGTCTAAAAGCCGCCTTTGACTGTTGTTTTTCTGAGGCCCCGACAATGGGGAATTAATCCAAACATAACACACTATAACCAGACAATCTTGAAGTGCGAATATGTGCGGGCTGCTGGTGTGTTGATATCCCTATATCATTTAATAATTGGTTGCTTTAACGGGCTTATCTTTTTCAGCGGGTTCGCGGCGTGCGCGCTTATGCAGACACAAGGCGATTGAGGATTCCATTGAACTGGCTGCCGGGTTAAATTTGGTGAGTGGAAAACTCTTCTTTCAATCACAATGGCAGCACTTACTTGTCCAAAGCCCAACCAGCTCAAACAGATCTCTGAATGCATTCGCTGGCAGAGAATCTCGTACGAAAAATATAAAAGTAAAGTGCGAGCCATAAAAATGCAAAGCACCAACAAGCAGTGCACGACTACAGTGAGAAAAAGCTTAAGAAAACTTAAAATTATAACTTAAATTGTAAATAAATATTTAAAGCATTGTTAACTTTAAATCATAAACCAAACAAGAAAGGAAGCAAACTTCGGCATGCCGAAGTTTATATACCCTTGCAGTTATAATAATTATTCAGTGTATTTATTTGGTCAGAAAGAAAATGACAGCCATCAAATCGCGTAAATTGGCCTTATATTTTTATCATGTTAATATATAGTAAATGAACCTATTTAATTTTATCGGATTGTTGCTAGTTTCAGTGATATTTATTTCGAAATAAAAGATAAAGATAAATACAATTAGAATATATATACAATTATCTTTTTACAATTTATATTATATCTATTTATTTTATTTATTTACAATTGAGCGCTTATTATATAATAGTTATATTTCTTTACAAGCTATAACTGAGGAAAATTCCATCATGATGACTATATGGTGTTTCATATATGAGGGCGAGGGTTTCCGGAATTCGAGCATCAGTAAATATCCAATCAATCTGCGTAAGGTGTTTTGTTGTTGGAGAGCTGTTTGTTCCAAAAAGGTTATACGCATTTAAAATTGCCTCCAGAGAATCAGTTCTTAAGTATCTGCAAATATTAAAATCTCCTAATATTACCACTTTATTATTATCTATTCTGCGTACTTTTTCGACGTCAGCTTTAATTTCATTTCGAAATCTTGTAATAGGAAATCTAGGACTCCTATATACAATTAAAAATGACGTGTCAAGAAATTTAAATGCAATTGATTGATAGGTGCTCATCGGGCTTATTGATTTAGTTGTTTCGAACAAAAATACAACATTTTGCGAAATACTCTGCTTAGCATAGATGAGTATTCCGTTCTTCCCAATACCATTCAAACGATTGCTATCTATTCTCCTTATAATGTCAAAATCTCTTATATTATACTCTTCATGTGGAAGAGTCCAGGTTTCAACAAAACATAAAAAGTTTGCGGAACAAATAATTTTGTCGTTGGCAATATCTTCGTGATGAGCACGAAGAGACTCAACATTGTGGTAATACAATGAGATGGCATCATTTCTATTGAACAAGAATTCGTATTGCGTAGTCAAAGCCTTTTCCCCTCTTAAACATTGAAGTTCTTCTTGGACATTTGTTGCTCCAAATCTAGTTGGAGGAACAAAGTCTCCTAAAAGGAAAAGACCCGATGCGCATGTTGCCCTGCTGCATCCTACGTAAAGCGAAGCTCGCTTAATGCCTCTTTTAAGATGCACTGCGACTTTGCTGTAGGTTGCTCCTTGGCTTTTGTGGATGGTAATAGCCTCAGCAGGAACAACTGGGAATTGCTTACGATCAATCGAAGAATGTCCTGAATTTCCGCACTGAAAAACTCGGGCTGTTTTCTGAATGGGAGTCCAACCGGGATTATCATTCCTTCGAACTTTTGACCTGGCTATGGCCCCAACCGTAGGATCTGAAAACTTTATCCACAGTCCTGTAACTATATGGGAGCCGTTAACCATGCAATGGTCAATTTGCATTAATTGGCCAGTTGCACCATTTACTAGTCCGTCATTTGTGTCTATATTGACGGTAACCATATACTTTGCCGTTGTTTTTAGCTGAAGAATATATGGTAAGCCCTGGGTTTCTGAGGTTTTCATATTTTGGGCCATTCTTAACGTCCTGACTCTATTGCTTTCTGACATATTTGCTGATTTAACAGTATCTATGGCAGTTGAAAAGAACTCTTCAGTCTGAATTTGGGCAAGCTTAAAGGTATTATAATGGGTAACCTCATCATTAGAGCAGAACAAATGAATTGCGTCATCAGCAACCTCGGTGGCTGAAACAACTCTTTGCCTAAGAAGCTCTACATCTGCGTCTGTCATATTAGCCTCGGACATATTATTTAATGCCAAAGCAAACGCGTGATCGTCCCGTTGTCTCATTATTTCAGTTAACTCAAAAAACTTAAAATTATTCCAAAGGTTAGCTCCGGCAAGAATGTTATAGGGGTTATTACTATTTTCTAGGAATATCCACCGATCCCCAACTGGGCTAAGCTGCTTCAGATCTCCAAACACTATTATTGATTTTCCACCAAAAATTAGATCTTGAGTTCTAAAAATTTGTCGAAGTCTTTGATCTAAATACCCAAGCATTTTCGATCCGACCATGGAAATTTCATCTATAATAATTAATTGGATGTCAATTAACTTGCAATGCAAAGTGTTTAAAGAATCATTATTTAAGGGTCTTAACGGACCCGAAGATTGATTAACAGGAAGGGAGAAAACGGAATGAAGCGTAAGTCCTCCAATCCCAAAAGCAGCTTTTCCAGTAGGAGCACAAAGTAAAACCTTTGCAGAATCAGTTGCCCCAGGAAGCTTATTCGCCCGCCACGTTATAGACTGATATATTGTTGAAATCAGCCTACTTTTTCCGACTCCAGCACCTCCACCAACATATTCATAAAAAATGTTCTTTGCTGCAACATTATGCATTACATGGGCGTAATACTGGCGTTGCTTAAAGTTAAGCGACCTAGTAAGGGAGCAAAGTGTGTCTTCAGATACCAAAGGAGGAAGTCTAATAAGTTGAAGTTCTCCATCCTCTGGGTTATTTTCAATGTCATCTTGGAGTACATTTACGTTTTGCCCAACGTTTGGTACTGCCAAGGCTCTAAACTCTTCATCTAGGTATTGGGAGGCAAGCCCCTCAGCAAGATGACTGTTTGGTTCTCTATCAAAATTTTGCAATTCTTGAAGAACCCTCTCCAATTCCATATCATCAAACACATCATATTGCTCTTTGTTGGCCTTGATTATTTCAAAATTATTTCTGAATGTACTTTCATTGTCATTTAAAATAAGTTCCGATTCCTCACTCCTCCACGGAAAGAAAAGCATTACATGCTCTCTAAAATAATCAGATGGGGAAGAGTTTAAGCTAAAGCGAACCCATCTAAGAATTAAGGCATGCTTACGCCTTTTCACACTACCAGTCCCATCTAGCAGTGCGAAACATTGTTCAGCAATGGCGTTTTCCTCATCTGGTTCCAAGTCGATCGGTTCATCATAATCTTCGTTGGACCTTTCTGTTCGAGAGTTGGACTTGCCGAATTTGTACCAAGCCGCAAATTCTGCAAGACATATTGACTCTAATTGTTCATGCCTTTGTACATACCGATCAAGTAAGTTTTTCTCAAAGATATCAGTGGAGTTTTCAGGAAGCTGTTCTATTTCCCTATTAGATCGCACTATCCGCACTCTTTTATCTGGATGGCAAGTGTTAACAAAAATATTTCCTTCGCTAGCCTCTGACATGTGTAATCCCAAAATGTTGTAGGCTGCTTCTTGGGCAGAAATCTCTGTAGCGTTAATGAACTTGCTCCCGAGATGCTGCAGTTTTCTTTTAACTGAAATATTTCCGTGACTTATTTCAGTCATTGCTTCGCGAAGGAGTTGCGACACTCCACGGTTGGATTTGTTAATGTAGTTAACTATATAACTACAACACGCGTACGCATCTAGGATAAATTGAATATCCATGTTTGCTCTATGTAAGCCCAAAATATTTTTGTTGTAAGCATTTAACAACCTGTCGGAAAATTTGCGACGAAGAAATATCTGAGGTTTTTTTAGGCTGGAGCGAATGGCAAACTTATATTCTTCAAATGTAGTATCAAGGTGGGTCAGGAAAAGGTTAAAATTATTAAAAGTGCCTGCTTCTTCATCGGAACTAGACTTTAAAAGCTCTTTAATTTTTTTAAACAATTCTTTAGAATGTTCAACATTGGTTTCGTTTTCTTCTAATGGATATAACACCAATGTTTCAGGCATTGGAGGGTATGGCATATTGAAGCGGCAGAATTCCTGGCCACGCAGCTCTCTTAAACATGAAGAGCTGTGCTTATGGCGCTGGTATTGAATAAATTCTTGCAATTCAGGATCTTCTCCGCTAGTAGTAATAAACCGATCAACAAAACGTATAACTTGATCGCAATTCTCTGCTCCGTCCAGCCTTGGAGCTTCAGAAAGCCAGTACATGCCATGAGAGTGTGGCGATCCCCTGTGCTGAAACTCGATCCTCCAATAATAGTGGACTAGGGTATATTCGCCAAATATCTCAGAACTTTTGAAAACTTTCAGCAATTGTCGGAGCCTGTAGTCAAAGTAACGGGAGCATGTTACTGGGTCAGATCGGATTAAGCGAGCTTTTTCGGTACTCGAAAGAGCTGCCGCTTCGTCCTCATTTATATTTTTGCCATCCACCAAAAGAGAAATAATAACTAACAGCTCATTCCATCTAGATTCAGCAGCGGAAAGAGTTATGAAAAATGTAGGCAACCCAAATTGTCTTATCATGGCAATAACTTTTTTTTTTCAGCCTCCCAATGAGCTGGGGCGGAACGTAGACCTTTAAGAATATGATACCCGTCGTCATGCTGTACAAGTCTGTCAACAAATGATTCATCCCTTATATTTGCAGCAGTTACCGCACCTGACTTTTTTCGTAGGGCGATGGAAATTGTGTTTTGAATTCGCTGCATCTCATAAAACTTGTACATATAAAGGACTTTAGGTACCACTGCACAACGACGGTCGTAGAAACGAATCTGTGATCTAGCTTTCTTTGCATAGGTCACATTGGCCTTAAATATTTCACCGCAAGATATAGTTGGGAACGAAAGTTCTTCCGCATCTTCATCTAGGGTTAGGTTTGTTGGACGGCGGCCTTCCCCAGGGGCCAAAGCAATACGTTCGAGCTCAGTATTGTTATTTTCTAATAAAGTTTCATGACCGCCTGGATTTAGCTCTTCTTCTTGTTGATCGATTTGTTGAGAATAAAGCTGTTGTCGCAATAGTTGTTCAACTTCTTCTCGATCAGATTCATCTGCGATAAAAGGTAATTCTTCCCTATCGCCAACTTGGTTAAGCCAGTCATTATCAAATATGATATTGTGTTTTCTGTACAGTTCAGTGTTAACTAAATACCGTACAGCTTCAAGGACCCGAGCTGGTCGAATAGTTTCTGTCATAAAATTATGGGAGTATTCCAGTTTCCTTTTAAGGTGAACTTGGATTACATGTGTGGAATTAAACGATCGGGGAAGCGCACTTACAGTGTCTGGGACAGAAATAGGAACATTTACCACCGCTCCTCTTATTCCGCATTGCCTTTCATATCCTAAGGAGATAATGCGCATAAACGGAATTCGAGGAGAAATAAGGCGCTCTTCCAGACACGTTAAGTTTTTAAGGCACTCCGGAATTTCTGGAAAGTCTAAGCCATTGGAAAGACAAAGAGATGGTAGTCTGCCTTTGGAAACAGCTTGACGGCATGTACTGCAGAATAGATATATACCGGACGGACTCGGAAATTTCCTACTTAAATAAAATGAGTTGCCTACGTTCATATTGGGGAACTTAGAAGATATAAGAAATTGATTCAAACCACTTACCTGGGATGAAAACCATGTTCCTCCACAGCATGTACATATTTTTGTTGGTCCGTCCTTAATGTTTCGAAGATATTGTTCCCGCGCAGTGTTTCGGCTCCTCCGGCGCTGTAATTCCCGTTGATCCTCCCTTTCATCTGCGGAAAGTTCAGCTCTAGCAGCAATATTTCGCTGCGACTGCCTTAAAGATTCCGCCTGACGATTTTGGGTACTGCTCCTATATGTGATTAATCTTTCCGCGGCCATTTCCTGAATTTGTTGCTCTCGAAGCCTCCGCTGTAGGCGTGTCTCCCGGCTACGCAATGTGTTATAGTGCTGCTGATGCGCACGAGTTATGGGGTTATTCCTAACGATCCTGTGAGCATCAGCGTCCCTTACGCGCTCTGGTCTGCGATTTTCTTCAACGGCCCTCCAGGTAGCGCGATTAGCAGTATTTTGTGACTGCTGTCGTCGGCGCTCCTCGGAGTTTGCCCTGGCAAGAGCGTGCGCTATAGCGTCCTGTTCTCGCTCTGGCCTGCGATTTTCTTCTTCCGCCCTCCAGGTAGCGCGATGAGCAGTATTTTGGGACTGCTGTCGTCGGCGCTCCTCGGAGTTTGCCCTGGCTAACGCGTGCGCTGCAGTGTTTCGGTCCTGCTGTCGTTGACGTTCCTCGGAGTTAGCTCTGGCCTGAGCGTGAGCTATAGCGTCCTGTTCCCGCTCTGGCCTGCGATTTTCTTCATCGGCCCTCCAGGTAGCGCGATTAGCAGTATTTTGCGACTGCTGTCGTCGGCGCTCCTCGGAGTTTGCCCTGGCTAACGCGTGCGCTGCAGTGTTTCGGTCCTGCTGTCGTCGACGTTCCTCGGAGTTAGCTCTGGCCTGAGCGTGAGCTATAGCGTCCTGTTCCCGCTCTGGCCTGCGATTTTCTTCATCGGCCCTCCAGGTAGCGCGATTAGCAGTATTTTGCGACTGCTGTCGTCGGCGCTCCTCGGAGTTTGCCCTGGCTAACGCGTGCGCTGCAGTGTTTCGGTCCTGCTGTCGTCGACGTTCCTCGGAGTTAGCTCTGGCCTGAGCGTGAGCTATAGCGTCCTGTTCCCGCTCTGGCCTGCGATTTTCTTCATTGGCCCTCCAGGTAGCGCGATTAGCAGTATTTTGCGACTGCTGTCGTCGGCGCTCCTCGGAGTTAGCTCTGGCCTGAGCGTGAGCTATAGCGTCCTGTTCCCGCTCTGGCCTGCGATTTTCTTCTTCGGCCCTCCAGGTAGCGCGATTAGCAGTATTTTGCGACTGCTGTCGTCGGCGCTCCTCGGAGTTAGCTCTGGCCTGAGCGTGAGCTATAGCGTCCTGTTCCCGCTCTGGCCTGCGATTTTCTTCATCGGCCCTCCAGGTAGCGCGATTAGCAGTATTTTGCGACTGCTGTCGTCGGCGCTCCTCGGAGTTAGCTCTGGCCTGAGCGTGAGCTATAGCGTCCTGTTCCCGCTCTGGCCTGCGATTTTCTTCATCGGCCCTCCAGGTAGCGCGATTAGCAGTATTTTGCGACTGCTGTCGTCGGCGCTCCTCGGAGTTAGCTCTGGCCTGAGCGTGAGCTATAGCGTCCTGTTCCCGCTCTGGCCTGCGATTTTCTTCATCGGCCCTCCAGGTAGCGCGATTAGCAGTGTTCAGTGCGCGTTCCCTAGCTCGAACTCGATCACTTCGCCTTCTGACAAGGCGTGCTGCCGTATTTCGCGTGCGTGCGTCCTCAGCTAGTTCCAAATTACTTGCGCGGGTCTCGGCAATATGTAAGGCATTCCGGGTCCTTATCTGCGGTGCATTTTGACGATATTGGGCTCGGCTGCGCCTCAGTGCGGCTTGGCGGCGTTGTTCCTGAGATAAAGAAGATACGCGTGGCATTCTCTTTTTTTTTGCTGTTTAAAAAATCGTAAAAATAAAAATTTAAAGGGATTATACGTGTTTGTTATTAAAAAATTTTAAATTCAGGGAATTTTGAAATTGTGATAAAATGATAAATTTATGTACTATGCCCCGTATTTGGTTTACGGTTGATACATACATAATTTTATAATTTTCTGATAGATAGACAAAATACTGCAATTGTTATTATTTAATTGTGGAAAATTGTGGAAAATATAATGTGTATTAAAACAGCAAAGGGAGACAGAAAATTCGGACAGTTAATTAACAAATTAACGGAAACTTACCAATTATCAATTGTAGGAGATATCACTTTAAATCACTTTTTAATTTAATTTTTCACTTTTGAATAACAAAAAGTACACAATACAAGTAATATAGGCTTCACAGAAACAGGTTGTTATACGGCGACTGTTATTTACAGACTAATCCATGGATTAGGCATACGTGTCAATATAAAGGCTGGTATTTTACCTGTTGACAGCACAAAGGTCAACCCTTTTTGTCACGAAGAATCCCGTAGTGCAGAAAGGTGCAGGTAACTACTTTGATTATGCAATTAAAGGATTGTGTACGTGTACATTAGTGAATCAGTTACCTTACCATTTGACCTGTATGATGTAAATCAAGAATTGGAAAAGTCTAGGTAGACTGGGTTGCAATATGAAATCAAACTATCGGGTTGTATATACCTGCCCTTGATTCATAAATGTAAAAGTAAATTAAGGTGACTTTCTGTAGGGGCGTAATAACCTGCATAGTGTTCGGCAATATTTGTAAAAGTTTTAGTATGTAGGGTTACAAATAAATATAAAATAAAACTATCAGAGAAACCCTTAACCAGTCGTGGGGTATCAAACTTTAATACATAAAAAAACAAGAAAGGAAAGCTAACTTCGGGCGGAGCCGAAGTTGATATACCCTTGCAGAATACTCTGTAAATTATATTCTCCAAAATTATTCATATGATGCATTCTTAATACTCATAAAAAATCCCAACTTCCTAACTTTAAAAACACCAAAGTTATGGCATTTCCAATCGTTCAGTTATATGGCAGCTATAAGATATAGTCGGCCGATCCTTATGAAATTTGGTATGTCAGATTGATTGGCCAAAAATAAAACCCATAGAAAATCCCAACTTCTTAACTTTACAAACACCAAAGTTATGGCACTTCCGATCAATCAGTTATATGGCAGCTATAAGATATAGTCGGCCGATCCTTATGAAATTCGGTATATCGAATTGATTGGCCAAAAATAAAACCCATAGAAAGTCCCAACTTCTTATCTTTAAAAACACCAAAGTTATGGCTTTTCCGATCGTTCAGTTATATGGCAGCTATATGATATAGTCGCCCGATCCCGGCTCGTTCCGACTTATATACTACCTGCAATAGAAAGACAACTTTTGGGCAAAGTTTCGAGCAGATAGCTTTAAAACTGAGGGACTAGTTTGCGTAGAAACGGACGGACAGACGGACAGACGGACAGACGGACAGACGGACAGACGGACGGACAGACGGACGGACAGACGGACGGACAGACGGACAGACGGACATGGCTAGATCGACTCTCCTGGTGATGCTGATCAAGAATATATATACTTTATAGGGTCGGAAATGTCTCCTTCACTGCGTTGCAAACTTTTGACTGAAATTATAATACCCTCTGCAAGGGTATAAAAAGATCTTTGTAAAATAGATGACAGATGTTTTGTATATTTAAAATAAAAAATAACTGAATCTGAAATCTGGGTATCTGTTGAAAGGAAAAGATTATGTCAGTATGCCAATCTTATTTGCAAGATCTATATGATTTGTATACAATCTTAAAACATATGATTTCTCCAAAAATGTCAGTAAATGTTTCAAAACGTTTGCCTGTTATTTAATGATCATTCTAAGACATCTATATGATATAGTCTTAAAATTTTTATAAAATTAAAACTATTATTCTGAGATTGCTAAAATTTACTATATCTTGGAGTATATGGAAATATTTTAGGAAACGACAAAGTTATAGTTACGAACTGACGGAAGATGTATTCGAATCGCCTGATATAACAATGAAGCTAGGTCGATTTTACTCTCAAGTTTTCGGTCATTTCTATGAAAGCTATATGATATTATTGTCCGATTTCAATAAAAATTAAAACGTAAATCTAAAATATTCAAGATTTACTATATCTTGAAGTATATTTATTTAAATTATTAAACATCGAAGTAATAATTTTTTTCTCATTTATTTCATATAATTGTTCCGATTGTTCCTATGGGAGCTATATGATACTGTCATCCGATTTTAATAAAATGAAAACCGTAATTCCATAGTATTTAAATATTAACAAATCCTGAAGAACAAAAAAATTCTTAATACTCATAAAAAATCCAAACTTCCTAACTTTAAAAACACCAAAGTTATGGCATTTTCAATCGTTCAGTTATATGGCAGCTATAAGATATAGTCGGCCGATCCTTATGAAATTTGGTAGGTCGGATTGATTGGCCAAATATAAAACCTGTAGAAAATCTTAACTTCTAACTTTACAAACACCAAAATTATGGCATTTCCAATCGTTCAGTTATATGGCAGCTATAGGATATAGTCGGCCGATCCTTATGAAATTTGGTAGGTCGGATTGATTGGCCAAATATAAAACCCATAGAAAATCCCAACTTTCTAACTTTACAAACACCAAAGTTATGGCATTTCCGATCAATCAGTTATATGGCAGCTATAGGATATAGTCGGCCGATCCTTATGAAATTTGGTACGTCGGATTGATTGGCCAAATATAATACCCATAGAGAGTCCCAACTTCTTATCTTTAAAAACACCAAAGTTATGACTTTTCCGATCGTTCAGTTATATGGCAGCTATATGATATAGTCGCCCGATCCGGCTCGTTCCGACTTATATACTACCTGCAATAGAAAGACAAGTTTTGCGAAAGTTTCAAGCAGATAGCTTTAAAACTGAGGGACTAGTTTGCGTAGAAACGGACGGACAGACGGACAGACGGACAGACGGACAGAGGACGGACAGACGGACGGACAGACGGACGGACAGACGGACAGACGGACATGGCTAGATCGACTCTCCTGGTGATGCTGATCAAGAATATATATACTTTATAGGGTCGGAAATGTCTCCTTCACTGCGTTGCAAACTTTTGACTGAAATTATAATACCCTCTGCAAGGGTATAAAAAGACCTTTGTAAAATAGATGACAGATGTTTTGTATATTTAAAATAAAAAAAATAATAATAACTGAATCTGAAATCTGGGAATATGTTGAAAGGAAAAGATTATGTCAGTATGCCAATCTTATTTGCAAGA